CGTTCTCGCATCTCAATGCCCTGTCCGCGTTCAACCCCCTCTCTTCGCTGTGCTCAACTCAACGGCTGCCCGGTTCGTTGTCCTGATGATGACTATTACGAAAACGACGGGACCTCGTCGGCATTTTGCCTCAATCAAAGAGCCGCCATCGTCGCCGTAACTTGTTCAGTTCTACCCTATTCTACGTACTTTGCAGTGATTGGTTCTGAATGTGTCTCATTGCCGCGCTTCACTCTAATAATTCTGTAGCTGTTGTGATTAAAATTTTGCGATCATTTTTGGCATCGCCACTCCGTTCGTTCCACCGTCGGTCGTCTGTCCAGTCCTCCTCGTTTCCGGTCGGGTGACAGGCACACACGTCTAGCTACAGTGTCACTACGTTGAGAATGTTTTCACTTGCGTCGTGCTTGCGAGATAAGGAGAAGGTACGGCGCGATGGTTGCTGGCTGGCTGGTTGGCCGGCCAGCCTGCCGGCCGGCCGTCACTCATCGCACTGGTCGAGTCTTTGATGTGGCCGCCGTTAACGGGTCTTCTTCCGCCCGCATGCGTAGCGGCATCGTTCATCATTACCGCTGTCCATCAGGCCGTCAGTTGGCGACGGCGGTGATCGCTCGTGAGTGTCGTCGTCGTTGTGTCGTGCACTGTTTCAACAGTGACAGCTTTCAATCAAACGCTAAACGTCGTATCCGACCGACCACTCGCGCACGACCCGTACCGTTCGTTGATTTCTACCCTCTTCGCCTTTCGTTTCTATCATTTCTCCCTCTGCTTCTACCTCATCGATCGCCCAAACGAGTTACCACCTCAAGTTCCTCGTCGCAGTTACATCGTGGTTACTAGGCGACGACCGATCGGTGCTCCTTGAAGATTCTGCTTATGACAACAACAAAAAATGCCTGTACATGAAATTCGATGGACAGTTCGATTTTTTGCCTCAGCGGGGAATGGAACGAACGAATGTAAGATCGAGCTATTTGCGAGCTCCGGCGAATCCCTTCGGCATAGCCGATTCTGTCGGTTAACATTAAATCTGATCTAATCATCGGTCTACGCGGATGGTATTCGCCGGTTTTCGTTTGATCTTGGTTTTCTGTCGAACCCTCATTTGTACTGTAGTACATTTTCTCCACCGTTCTACCTTCCACTGCTGAGAGGGCCAACCGTTTCTGAACGATTTGCTGGATTGTCCCCGTATTCTAATGAGGTCAGAAATCGTGTTGGTTGCATTGCGAGATTGACCAGCAACTCTACTGGTTGCTTTCGTCAACCCAGGCTCCAAGATCGGACATTACGACAGCATAGCACACCTTTACGACTCGGCCTATCCACCATTTGGCGCAAGTGTTGCTTTCAGGGCTTAGTCGTGGTACTGACCAGTCGCTATGTGCATAATATTAGCGGATGTAGTGCTCCTAGGCTGAAGTTGCGCTACTGACGACGGTGATCGACGATAGTCGTGAGTGTCAAGTATACGGTTATCTTTCAATTTTGAGGCAAACCGTGTGACTGCACGAGGCAACGTCCACCCGAAGTCCAGCGTACCAAACAGTCATCCTCTCAGTCAGGGTCAGCTTGCAGCAGTGCGAGCGCGTCGTAAGAGCGAACTATCACCTGAAACTGCTTGAAAATCCGCTCCTTAGCCTGGTCTTTCTCTAGCTGGCGTTGTTCATTTCCAAGTTTAAGCGAACTTCCAATGTCGCTGTGCCTCAAGCTGACGCTGGGGACTGGCTGGCAATGCTAGCGTATATGCCATGTTGATCTCTACGCACCGTTGGAAGCCTAGGATCAGACCATGCACGTTACAACATTCGATGCACTGAGAAC